TTCAACCCAGTGCCAGCAAGTGGGCCCATGCAAGGCTCATGCAGGCCCCCATTCCAGCGTGGCCAGGGCTCTGGTGGCTGCCTGCCCCACTGAGCTGCTTGATGGCCGCTAAACGCCTTGTTCAGCCAGTGTGCTGCTGCTGGCAGTGTGTGGCTCCTGTGGCAAGTTGGCCAATGTGCAACCATCTTGCTGCCTGCTGGGTTTACATCCGTTGTGTGAACTGATATACACACCCATCCCGTCCTTATCTAGAGATGAGCTTCGGCCGTAGCTGAGCGAAGCCCCTGGCCGCCCTGCAAACCTCGCTCCTGCTTCATCGAGAGTAAGCATCATGGGTCTCGCTGCAGCCGGCGGTGCCAGCAGCCGGCACCGCTGGGGTGGCGGCGGCAGCGAGTCGGAGGCGTCGAACGCCGAGTGCAGCAGTTCCAGCGGTCTGGACCTGGCAGACGGCGGGCTGAGCCTCGCAGACGGGCCGCCCACAGATGCGCAGGGCCTGGAGGAGCCGCGGCGCACAGGCACTACCTTCACAGCGCTGATGCATGTGCTCACCGCTGTCATCGGCGCTGGCGTGTTGGCGCTGCCATACGCCGTGGCGATGCTGGGCTGGTGAGCTGCTGGCGATGTAGCGCTGCTGCCCTTGCCGCAGAGCAAGGGTCGGATTACAAGGGGATGATGAAACACCCATCACCACCACTGCCACTCCCTCTGCAGGGTGGCGGGGCCGCTGTGCATCATTTGTTTCGGGGCACTCACTCAAGTTTGCTCGGTGGGTGGGCCATGGAGGCGCTGGGCGTTGCACTAGCACATGCGCCACAGCCGGCGGGAAAGCACCATGCTCCTGTCGCCGCAGAATGAGCAGCTGCTGCTGGGTCGTTCCACCGACCTGGCCTGCTTCCCTGCTCTTCATCACACCTGGCCTCCTGCCATGAGCCGATGTTTACAGGTGCTGCTGGCAGACTGCTACATCATCAACGGCAAGATTAACTGCACGTACAGCGAGTGTGTCGCAGCGACCTTCCGCCCGTGGGTAGTCACCACGATTGGCATGTGAGCAGAGGGGCAGACGTGCCCACCCAGCCCGCCCCTGCCGCCGCCGCTCCTGGTGCCACCGCCCAACACATCCATGTGCCCCTGCCTCGCAGCATCCAGCACGTCAATTTGGTGCTCGTCATGTGGGCGTACGCCATCACCGCCCCGCAGTCGCTGCAGGTGGGGATGGAGCGCCGTGGTTGTGCAGACCACCCACAAGCGGCATTGCCGCGCCTGGGTCTGAACCGCCGCCCGCCGTCCCCCGCTCCCCAACCTTGCAGACCATCGCTCGCTCCATATGCAGCGAGGCCGGCTGGAGCAGCTGCTTCACAAACTACAATTGGTGGGCCATCATCTTTGGGTGAGTGCCACAGCTGGGAGAGACGCACACGCGCGCTGCGGCTGCCGGGGCGTCAGCGTCTTCCCATCCGAAGCCACCACCACTTCAGTCCCACTCTGTGTCCTGCCCCCGTCGTGTGCCCCGCCCGCAGCGGCTCGCAGCTGCTGATGGTGCAGATGCCCGACATTGATCACCTCAAGTACAGCAGACACGGGCATTCATTCATTCAGCACACAGCCCGGCCGCCTCTTGCTCGAGGGCGGCCCACTTTGGCCTGGGCAGCCCGGGCCGCCCTCCCCCCCGGGCGCATGTTCGGTGTTGGAGGGGTGTGCCCAGCGATAGGGGGCCCCTGAAGGCATGCGCCGAGGCCGGGAAGCGTGGTTCGGCGCTGCTGCACGCTTGGCGATTTGACCAGAACCACGTGCCGCCGAGCTGCGGCCGCAGTTTCCGGCCCACGGTCTACGGTCGCAGCCACGGGACTCGGCGGCACGGCGTTTGGGCCCAAGCTTGCTGCCGCCGCCGCCGTGCCCGGGGGGCAGCGCGGCGGCGGCGGCGGCACGCTGCGACGCCCCCGTGCTGCCGAGCTGCGGCCGTAGTTTCCTGCCAGAAGCCCACGGCCACAGCCACGGGACTCGGCGGCACGGAGTTTCGGTCCACGGCTTGCTGCCGCCGCCGTCGCAGGGGTGCTGCCTGCGGCGGCGGCGGCACGGCGTTTGGGTCCACGGCTTGCTGCCGCTGCCGCCGCCGCAGGGGTGCTGCCTGCGGCGGCGGCGGTAGCGCACGTGGCAACCCCCCGCGTTTCCTTGCCTCCCATCCACCGGACCCCGTCCTGCGCTTCACTTTGTTTAGGGAGGGGCTGCTCACTGCTCATTGCTCATTGCTCATCGCACACTGCTCAACGCTCATTGCCCTATATCCCACCCAGCCGCAG